CAGGCGGAGCAGGGCAGAGCGGACAGGGCTAGATGAGACCAAGGCCAGGACGAGGGGAGGGGAGGGCAGGGGAGGGGGCTAAGGCCTGATCCAGACTTCCAAAGTCCCCCAGGAAACTGAGCCCAAGAAAGCGGGGAGCTGGTTCGGCCTATCAGGGATGGTGAGTCTGGGGAATCTAGAGTCAGGTGGGGGCAGATCCTCTCTGGATCCCCCCTCTTAGCTGTAGGTAGAGGGCTCCTGGTGGAAAAGGCCCAGAGGGACCCACAATGAGTTGGTGTGGCTCTAGGTTCCTATTCTTCACCCTAGCCATTTGGCTTTCTCAGGTGTGGGGAATTAGTAATCTGCTAATGAGTTAATGAATCTGGTAATGCTTTTGGGAAATCTTGAATTCGAAGTCCTCAGGCAGTACAGACCCTGCTGGGCCTCAATTTGAGTATACCCTCTCCAGTCTGCCTTCCTGCCTCCAGCCTCCACACCCCACTCAGTTCCACTGCCCCAATGCCACTCCCAGCCCTTCCCACCTTTCAGCCTTGGTGCTGTTTCCTGTAGAACTGCCAGTCTTCGGGGAAGGCTCCCACCTGTTCAGTCTATTAACTCTCAGAGTACGCATTTTCCCCATCTATCTGAGCACTTACCATAGTGTCACTGGTACTTTTAGTTCACTCAGCCACTCAGTCTTTTAGGGAACATTTATTGAGTGCCTACTATGTGCCAAAGGGAACCAGTGTTGAGCATAAACACAGGACTCATGCCTTCGGGGAACTTACAGTCTGGTGGGGAAAGCAGAAATTAACCAAAGGATCAAGTAAAGAAACAACACATTATAGAGGTGCCTGGTACCCAGCAGGCCTCTGCAGGCATCTGGTGAATGAATTCAGCTGTGATCCATGCTGTTAAACAGAGGTGCTTCCCAGAGGAGGGAATGTGAAAGACAAATAGAAGTTAACAGATTAGTGGGGGAGGAAGAGCATTCCAGACATGTGAAGTCCCTGTGGCTGTAAGAAATATGGCTGATATGAGGACCTAGAAGCCAGTGTTACTGAAGCAGAGTGATAGCAAACACAGTTCAAGGTGAGGCTGAAGACACAGATAGACCAGCCAACAGAGCTTTTAATTAAGACCTTTGACATTTTGACTCTAGCCCAGGAGCAATGGGGCACCCATGAAGACTCTTAGGCACGGGCGACCTGAGCAGCTTGTATCTGGAGCAGTTGGTTGGAAGGGGTACCAAATGAATGCAGGGAGCCAGTTAGGAGACTATTGCTAGAGTTAACTGGTTTGGGGCTGCCTCTCTACTAAATGGCGAGGGCTATAGGACAGGGCCTGTGCCTGGTACCCCTCTGAAACCACACGCACACACGCACACATGCACACACACAAATACACAGAGATCCACCTGGGAGTGCACAAAAAAAGGTACCCAATATACATTTTTTACACTGATATGAAATCAGAATTATCCAGCAACATTCAACCCACCAGTATGTACACAGGCTCTGGCAACCTTGGGGAGCAGTGGGTTGGGGAAAGGGAATGCAGGCTTCTTGCCAACCAGTGTCCCAATGTGGAACCAGGAGCCAGGCTCCCATCTCTCCATTCATTTCCTCTATTAAACTTGTTCATAAACATGTTCATGTACATGGCCTGCCAGACCTCTCCCTGCTCCTGGCAGGGTACAGCTGGCTCTGTCCCCAACCTTGGGCATCAAGAACAGGTGTGCAGGCCTCTGCACACCATTGTGGCCCCTCAGTGGTCCTGGTGCTGAAGTGGGGGGGATGGGGGATGCCGTACAGGAGGCAGGTCATAGTGTCCAGGGATGTGGCTGTTCTTGGGTGAGTCGTAGTGGCCGGGGGTCAGGCCCAGAGACTGTGGGTGCTGGGACCCTATGGAGTCTCTGTCTGGAAACAGAGAAGGGACAGAATGAGGGGGAGGTGGCTCCTCCCCTTCTTACCACTCCCCTCTCCAGCCTCTTCGGTCCAAAGAGAGGGCTAGCGCCTGGTTATAGGGCAGTTGGTGCAGTTGGCAGCTCCGCAGCTGCCAGTAGGGGAGGCTACCTTGATGCGCTTACCTCACAGGATATGAGGACACTATGTCACCTGCCTTGTTCCCCATTTTTCTGGGTACCAACTCTGCAAGTCAGGTGCTATACAACCAACCACCCTTTCAAATCCTCAGCCCTGTGAAGTATGTACCACCACTCAGGCGCTAAGAAGCGATGTGATTCCCAAACACCACGCCTGCTCTGAGCCCAAGTCTGACGCCAAGGCCTTGCTCTTGCTCCCACATCATGTCGCCTCTATATTCTCTTTCTCGGTCCCTTTCTCCCTTTCTCCTCCCCTTGTCCCTTGTCCCTTTCTCCCTCTCTAGCCCCTGCCTCAGCGGAGAGGAGGGCTCACCGTGGGTCAGAGCGCTAGGCTGCTCGTAGGTACCGCTGTCTCTCTGTGGCTGGGGGTGCCGCCGCCTCTGGCTGTCCAGGCCCTGAGGAGGCTGCCTCGGGGGACATCCTGAGGGAGGGCCTTTCATTTCCACATAGCTGCTCTCCCGGGGGCCCCCTAGCAGGCTGGGCAGGTCCCGGATGGTGGCGTAGGGGTTCTCGCTGCTCAGGGAAGCCACACTGGCCCCCAGCCCCTCTTCAGAGATGGGCCCTGAGGATAGGGAAAAGAATTCAGGCTTGGGGGAGGCACTGGCTCCTAAACAAACCCCAGTGCAGCCCCCTCGCTCACCCCCACCCCTGTGCCCATACCTTTACCATAGAATGGGCCTGGGCCATTACTGCTGTCATAGCTACAGCTGTAGCTTCGGTCCAAGCGGCTGCTGCCTGAGGAGGAGGCAACACACAATCAGACCCCTGGTCCCCTCCCCAGGCTCAAGTCCCCTCCCAGAAGCCCTTCTGCAGATGCACACACTCGGGTGGAGCAGGACGCTGGGCTGCACACACCCACCCTCACCAGAGGCCTGGCCTCCAGGCTCCTACCCCTGTCCAGAGGCCCTGGAGGGGCCTCCCATCGGCGCTTCCAGTCGGCGGGCAGGGTGGAGTGGTTATCAGGTCCATGGGCTCCACTTGGCCGCTCGGGGGCCTGGAGGCTGGCAAAGTGCTGACTGCCTGGAACCTGCTGGGGAAGGAGCAAGGATGGAGCTTTCCAGAGAAGCAGGCCTTTCCCCATTTCTCCACAGTGCACTCCTCCCCCAGCACTGACCTTGTTAGGGGGTGGGGGGATAGGTGAGCACTGTGATAGGGTGTGGTAGCTGGGGTTGGAGTAGTAGTGACTGTAGCTCAGAGGGATATCTGCAAGAACAGACACAGGTGCAGGTGACCCATCAGTCAGAGACAGGCCTGGGCCCAGGAATGTTCCTCTGTTCCAGGAGGTCAGTAATCAGCCCCTCTGACTTCCCTTCCTCCAACTCCCCATTTCCCATCTTCTGGGTCCAGGGAAAGATGCAGGAGCCCCATGCCTATGAGCCAGCTACTTGTATGTGTCCCCTGCCCCCAGGCCAGCTCACCTGGCATGACATACTCAGAGCCATCCAGTCGCCCACTGCTGTATGCCACTGCCAGGTGTTGGTGCTGCTTGCCTTTTTGCCAATGGCGGTATCCAATGAACAATGCAACCAGGGCCACCACCAGGGACCCCAGCACTGCGATGCCAATCACGGCCCCCAGTGAGTTATAGGCCACTGGAAAGGTAGGCGTCATGGTGAAGGGCTCCTGGCTTCCTAGTGGGTAGGGCAGTCATTCAGAACAACGTCTTGGCTCTGCTGGTGAGCTTGGGGGACATTCATGGGAGAGACTTCTAGCTGAGGGGCTAGATCTTGGCAGAGACCCAGGCAGGTACCCGCATCCTAGTTCCCTGGGAATATTAAAGGCCTAGAGAACTCACCAATCCTGCAGGGGGCACCACTATACCCTGGGGGACACACACAGGCCCCAGTCTCTGGGTGGCACCTCTCTCCAAAACCACACTGGCATGGTTGGGAGCAATTGGTACCAAACATCCCTGGAGAACAGCCTGAGAGAGAGCCAAGGAGGTAGGCAGGGGTCAAAGGTTGCCAGGACACTGCAGTCTCCTTCTTGGGCTAGGGCTGATTTGGGGATAGGGGCATGGAGCTCCGCTTCTGTTGGTACCTTCCAGGCAGAGGTGTCCAGTCCAGCCTGGGGGGCATAAACAGCTCCCATCCTGGGGGTGGCAGGTCCCACCATGGTGACACTGGCAGGGCTGGGCACAGTTGTCTCCCCAGTGTCCTGGAGGGCATGCTGCAGGAGACAAGGTGCACCCACCTTGTGTGCCAGCCCAGCCTCCCCGCCACACACCAGATGAATTCATGGCCCCCAGCATCACTGAAATCTTCCCCTCAGCTTTGTTCTCCCCAGGGACACCAAGGCTTTGAACAGTATCTACACTCAGATGACTCATATAAATAAATAAATTGAAAAATGCAAAAGGAGAAGTTGTTCAAAACTGAACCTGCAGTTTCCCTTGCCCCCTGCCCTGCACTGCTCTTCCCAGGTGTCCCATGGAGAAGGGCAGGGAGTTGTTTTCCCCAACCTGTTCATGGCCACATCCTCAGAACCCAGAATGGAGGTGATGCCCAATAGGTATTTGTTTATATTGTTTATATAACTGACTGAATCAAGGTAGGTCCAGAGGCTTTTATACCCAAGGGCAGGGGAACAGAAGCCTCTGGTTCCCAGCCCACCCACTGGGCACACACATGCACTTAGACACGCAAGCCACCACTAGGCTACCACGTACGCTGGGAACAGTCCGAGCCAGTCCAGCCAGCCAGGCAGTAGCAGGTTCCATCCGAGGGGTGGCAGGAGGAGTGGTTAGCACACTTGCAGGGCACACAGCGTTTGCCATAGCGGCCAGGCTGACAGGCTGGGAGAAAGGGGCTCCTGGTGACTGGGGGCAGGGACCAACCCTCCATCAGCCCTTGATTCCACTATCTCCCTCCCTCCTTCCCACTGGCCCAAAGATTAGAATCAGTGGAAGAAAACAAGATGGGTAGAGTGGAAGGCTTCTGGCATCTGACACTATTCTGCACCACACTGCTGGCAGGTGGAAGGAGAGGAGGGAGCCTCACGTCTCTGGCAGGAGGGACCTCGGAATCCAGGTACACACACACAATTGCCATTCTCAGGGATGCAGGTGCCCCCATTCTTGCAAGTGCAGGTGTTGCTGCAGTTGGCTCCCCAGAAGCCCTCAGGGCAGGGCAGGTGGCATCGAGTACCTGTGGGAGAGAGGAATAGGGTGAGCCTGGCCTGCCCCACCCCTTCCATAAGGGTTCTTCTGGACACATTTCCTGAGAGATGCACCCCAACTCCACAGTGGGCCTGGGGTCTGGACACCCAGAATGCTCACCTGTCCAGCCAGCCTGGCACTGGCAGTGTCCATGAATAGGGTCACAGCCATCAGAGTGGTCACAGTCACAGCGACTGGCACAACCTTCACCAAACTTCCCCTTCTTGGAGAGGGCATGGAGAGTAGGGCAGACTAGTCAGCTGAGGGATTCCATGCCCTCTCCTCCCCCACGCAGGCAGGCTGTTGGGCACTTACTGGACAGGGGAGCTCGCAGTGGGCCCCGTGCCACCCAGGGGTGCAGGTACAGGCTCCAGTTTGGGGGCTGCAGGCTGCCTCGTGGGCACACTGGCAGCTGGCATTGCAACCAAATCCCCAGGTTCCAGGTGGACAGGGCACAGAGCAGTTACCACGCTGCCAACCTGGAAAAGGGGTTTGCAGGTAGGCACGGGGACCCAGCTCCCCTCCTGAGCAAGCACACGCCGGACATTGGCTGTGTCAGGCTCTGTGCTATGAGTTGGGGGGTGGAGTGGGGGTGCTCATGGTCCCATACAAGAGACAAGCATATAAATTGTCAGATGTGGAACAGAAGGCTAAATGACTGCCAGCCATGCACCACCCCATTCTGGGTCTTGGATGCCTCTTCTACAGAATGAAAGGGGTTGGCAGCAAACCAAAGGCCTACAGAGGCCCCAACAGGTAACTAAATGAGTTGTCCAAATCATGTGTAAGACAATAGGGAGGAGTGGGGACTAGAAACTGGAGGATTGTTAGACATAATATAGAGCTAGCCAAACAAGACATCTGTGTCAGAATCCAGCCTACAGATTGCCACCGTGCCACCCCTGGTAGATCTCAGAGGCCCTGCCTGGTGCTGCTTTTTTGTGGTTCTGTATCACTGAGGGTGAACAGTGTTCACCAAAAAGGGCCTTCTGGCCGGGGCCTTTAAGGATGAGTGGGGTTTTTGCAGTTGAAGAAAAAGCAAAGTGGAGATTCTAGGAAGGAAGTAGGCTGGCTACTTTCCCACGGCCCAGCTGCTGCCCAGCGGCTCCTCCCTTGCCCTGCAGCCTCCCCCCTGCCCTTGGACCCTCCCTTCTCCCCGTGGCCCCGCCCCCCTAATCGCCCCTCCCGGGGGTGCATCCCGTTACCTTCCTTGCAGACGCAAGTGCCGTCAATAGGCGAGCAGGCGATGGCGTTCTCGCAGGAGCAGCGGGAGGAGCAGTTGAGGCCGTAAGTGTCGGGCGGACAGAGGCTAGCGCAGTGCGGGCCCTGGAGCGGCGGGCGGAGTG